CAGTCTCGTTACTCTAGATTCACCTGTATCGTTTGTAGCATTTACAATTTCAAATGTAACATTTCTATTAATTCAAGAAACATCAGCAAACATACAAACTGTTCATGTGCAGTGTGTTGCTGGCTAAAGGTACAGCTGCTGTATTTGTAGAGAGAGAAAAAAATGTGGGATAAGTTCACTCAGAGATGGAGAAAGATATAAGACAGGCAGCACAGGAACGGGGAAACAGGTTATACCTAAAGGTAAGGTCAGTCATACTTGATACACTGCAGATCTAAAAATGACTTTGTCAGGATAAACAGATTCGCCTGCAATACTGTGGTGAATTTCAGTAAAGCACTGTGTTTGACTGGTGCACAGCAGCTGTGGTGTTCATGGTCACTGTCAGGTTACCTTAAGTATAGGAGATAATCTGCATTGAGTTGATGATGCTTAGATTAATTTCCTGAATTCCACTCTTATACCAACTGTATACAGTGTAGTATAAAGACAACACAGAGTGGGCTGTCATTGTAGGACATAGAAATCAGCCAGGACAGCTCATGAAACATCTGCTGACATCTTGTTGAATTCAGTTCTGTAAATCCACAAAGAGCAGCAGGTCAGCTGATCACAGCCTGCACTGGTGCTCACATTAGTGATTATCACAGGTTGTGATTCTGTTTCCAACACCAAGCCACTACAACTGACCCTAGGGTTCCCCAACCTGCTGAATCCCACTTCTTGGCTGTCCTCATTAGAGATGGGCAGTAACGCGTTACTGTAATCCGATTACTTTTTTCAAGTAATTATGGATTGGATTTATATAGCGCTTTTCAAGGCACCCAAAGCGCTTTACAATTCCACTATTCATTCACTCTCACATTCACACACTGGTGGAGGCAGCTACAGTTGTAGCCACAGCTGCCCTGGGGCAGACTGACAGAAGCGAGGCTGCCATATCGCGCCATCGGCCCCTCTGGCCAACACCAGTAGGCGTGAAGTGTCTTGCCCAAGGACACAACGACCAGGACAGAGAGCCCAGCGACCTTCCGGTTACAGATGCGATTCCCACCCACTCGTGTGTGGGGCGAGCCATGGTCTCCCCACATACGAGTAAAGTAAGGGATTACTATTGCAAAAAAGCTAATTAGATTACTGTTACCTTCCCGTAGGAACGCTGCGTTACTGCGTTACTAAAACCGTGATTTTTTTCCGAGAATGTCTCACGACAGTGACGTAAGCGAGTGCGACGTTCGTGACAACAGCTGTGTGCAGATCAACAATGGATCATATATCGAGTGCGAGAGAGTATGAGCGTGCAGCGTTTAAAGCGTGGAAGTACTGACCTTACTTTGAGTTTGATTCCATAAAAAGTGACAAAAACATTAGTGTCCGTTGTGCGTGGGAAGAAAACTTCTTTTTACAGCGAAAAAAACCCCTAAACTTCCAACAAGCACCGAGTAGCTACGACGTAATGGGAAACTCACAGAGAAACTCGCGGATTCTTCCACTGACCGCGGCACACCTGCACCAGGGTAAACCTCCGCCTGCCCCACTCCTGCTTTACAGGTGAAAATAGAGCAACAGGACCGCTGAGTCTTTGACTTTATTTATTTTCTGCTGTGTTTTACTTGCATCTATTTGAAAGACTGAGTGTAAACACAAAAAATATTTTATTTTATGTGCTGGAATGTGCAGAAAATAGGTTTAAATGTTAAACTAATTTCTTCCAGTCAGAGAATGTTGCAGATAATTAAATTTTTGCTTGATGCATAAAGTTAAAAGATTAAAACTAATAAAACAAGTTTTAAAAAGAGACTTTTCCATTTGATTACATTTTGTATGATGGATTATGCAGAAAAAGTAGAATTGGGCTGAAAGATCTATCGCTTTATCACCTCTTCAGGTTGTAAATCATGTCTTTAAAAAGTAACTAATTACTTTTGAAAATAAGTAATCAATAAAGCAACGGGATTACTTTTTTGGGGAAGTAATGAGTAATTAGTTACTGATTACTTTTTTCAAGTAACTTGACCAACACTGGTCCTCATGTTTGTGTTTGGGTGTGAAGGCAAATTGTAGACAACTAAATACAGTTAAATTAAATTTCTTTCACTTGTGTCCTACATAACAGATTCAAACATTCATTAGAATTTCATTCAAATAACATTTGTATTCTCGTGTACTTATAATATTTTATTACTATATTGATATAGCAAAAGGTTTAGTTGTCTTTGCATAGAAATATCTGGTAGAATTTCTCTTTGAGGTGTTACTTTTCCTTTCTTGGTCTGAGTACATTTCAGAGACTGTACTTTTTTCTTTTACTTTAGTAAAGAAGTAGATTCAGTACTTCAGGTGTTACTGGAGTATTTTGTTAAAAACCACAGATATCTGTACTTCTACTTAAGTAAAGAATATCGTTACTTTGGCCACCTTTGGTGGACAAAGCTTGTTTACCATGGAGCTGGATCTTGATACACGATTACAGCACAGCTTTGTGTCTTTTAAGTCATATATTATATCATGAAATAAATATTTGAGTATGAAATTTTGTTTGTATTTTAAAACAATGATGCAAAAAGATATAAAATAGAAGAAATAAGACAATAAAGCAACTAAAACAACAACTTTGGGTCAATGTTGTGCTACTGTGTCTTTCGTTGCACATTACATACTACATAATGGTCCATTTTGCAGGTTAGACTGTGCCAATAATTTTGATAACATGTGTCATAAAGTCAGCAAACAATTATTAAGTCTGGTTTCCTTAATCAGGATGCACAAATGAACCTGTAGATCTAAATCAGCAGATGTAGCTCACCTGTAAGTGTAAATGTGAATGTGCTGTATATGGTTATTTGTGAATGACTGGCTATTTCTATTTGTCAATCCTCTTGCTTAATAGGTGGCAGGTAAGTATAATGTTAGTATAATGACAGAGTCACAGAGATTAAACTTTGTGTTTGTGCAGGAAAAAAGTGTTAATTGACTCTGTAGCACAATAAAATTTCACATTACAGGAAATAAAATATTGTGACTGCTGCATTTGCATAAAATCACCTCCCTTAATTTATGTTCAGTATGTAGACATATCCTGAGTTTTTCTATTAGTGGGTGACTGATCTCTTCATCTCTCGGCTGCTCCTTTACGCTGTCACACAAACTATTTCTGAAAATATAACACTACACAGTTTTGTAAACCTGTGAAATCATTTGAAGTGATATATTGATCAACCTTCAGTTTCAAAGTTGCTGTAACTGTAGTATATCTATGAAACTAATGCAGTTCTTCTTCTTTGGTAGTTTTAAAAAAATGTTATCAGAGATACAGTTCAGAAAGACAGAGCCGTGAAATTATTTATGTCTTATTCTCAGTAAAAACATGAGGCTTTTAAGAATAGTAGAGTCTGTGACGTTTATGGTAAATGTTGTATTGCACTTTATGTTTATGAACTCGTTGTCATCCTTAAAGATGCAGGGCACCAGGAAACCATTGGAAAATGTATCATTATAATCACTCTATGAAATCAGAAATTGTTCCCCACAATATTTTCTTAGCATTAGCTTCAACTGGTTCACACATATTAATCACCTTGGATGGTTGCTGGCTTATAACTCGCTTGTACACCTTCAAGTGGTTATCCAAGGCTGTGAGTCTTTGCTTGGTATCTGTGTGGACAGCTTGTGGTACTTCCACCATTCTGCAGCTCTGATAGATGACTAGCTTCCCTCTGTGCTGCCTTCATCTTGGCCCCTGATCCTAACATTGTTCCTCGCATCCATTCAATGCATTCAACGCACCTTTTGTTCATCCCCCAGTATGCGGGGATGATGACACCCTGGCTCCACCGTGCTAAAGTATTTGTTGTACCTCATCAGTCTCTAGTAAACTGCCTACAGGGCGAGTGGGATTTTTTTTTTAATGATACAAAACTGATATCTTACAAAATGTTTCTAACCTTATTTCTGACAGTGTTGGTGCCACCTTGGATCTTCCACAAAATACTCTATCATGACTTGTTCAAAACAAATAATTCACGCTTATAAAGCTATTTGTTATATATCATAATGACAACACATATTTTTAATGCTGGACATAAAAACTAAAGGTAACAAGAACGATAACCTGAAAGAAAAGGTGTCCTATCATTATCTCTTTAACAGCATATCCTCAATCAATGTGAAGTATTAGTTTTGCTGTGATATGCTCCAGCCTAGAGGATGTTTGGTTTGAACATCCCTTCAGTCATTTTACAGCCTGTTTCCATGGGAACATCCACCCTTTAAACCCCTTTGAAAAACAGGGGCCGAAGTATTTTTTCCACTTTAAATATTTCTTTAACCTGAATGAGGTTTTTTTTGCTCTTTTTGAGAAAGACAGTTTATCAGTAAAAAGTCAAGGAGGGTATTTTTAAATTTAAATTGTAAAGCAGCACATTGAGAAAAAGACAAAAATCTGTGAACACTAAAAATAAAAAAGAAATAAAACCATACTCGTGTCTTTACTAACTCCAGTAACACCGATGAGCCAAACTCAGAGGAGAAAACATCGAATCACACGAAGACTGTCGTTGTTATTTGGTTTAAACTGTAATGTAAAAGTGCATCACTCTAACACTCTCACCATTATAAGCTGTGCCTGTGTAAATATGCCGTTTCTGAGTAGTACTTTGTTGTAAAAACTAGAAAGGATGTTAGGAAATATGAACGATATGTACGAGGTCTGTGGTCCAAGGACACGTTAGCTGCTAGCATCACACAGCTCGACTCCCGGTGCCTTATGTTTGGGCCAGAGGTGAAACTGTGGGGGGAAATGCCAGGAGAATTCCTACAGTGTTAGAATTGCTGCTTTTTCTTTGCCATGGATTATTTATGTATCTGCTTTATGCTTTTGCTGTTTATTTCGGGGAATTGCATCTTTAAAAATGTGTTTCTGTTATTCCTGCTTTGGTCCTCTGGTCTGAACCATGTGCTTATCTGTAATATTCTGACTGTTGGTGTTTTCTGTGTTGCAGGTTGCCCATGTGGGTGGCCAAGGGGATGGTGGCCACGAGGGCTGTGTGCCTGGCTTCCAGGTCAAAAAGTACCAGGTGATGTACAGAGGTCCTTTCCAAAAAGGACAACGCCTTCTTCAAGGTCAGTAAATTGGTTAAAATCTCTATATCCACACCACAATTCAACATCCAGTTGTACCGACACAAATATCCTTTCCTTCATCTGTCTGGGTTTTGAGGATTTGAACAGCAGCATATCACGGGGCTCTAGGCAGCAGGTTCCTACCAGGTCAAGGTGGAATTATGTGTGTGTGAACGTTCATTAAAATTCCTTTGATTATAAACATGGGGTAAAACGGGTTGCTTCTTTGCACCACAGTGATAACAACATCATTTTTGTCTGCAAATGAATTATTCTCCTTTTTTGAATGATATTTACAAAAGTATTTTCCCTCTTTGTTCCTCCCCCGAAGACAGCTTTGAGCTGCTTAGTTAACTGTGTGTGCTGTGTGCTCATATGCAAGCGTGTTTGCTGGAGCTTTTGAGTCCCAGTTCAACGGTTACATGCTCGAGTTGACTCAGCTTTCTGCAAAGCTCCGGTCCCTAACACACTCTGACTTGCATTTTCCTCTGTATGCAGAAAATTGTGTTTGATCTCAGCAGGTTTAAAATCAAAACCTTTAAGATTTAAGAGTTCGAAGAGTTCACAGCTGACGAGTCCATGTCACGGAGGCTTAGTTCTGTCTCTGAGCCACTTGTGAGTCAGTCTTGTCGCTCCTAAGTTAATGCAGTGACCAGTTAGTTTCCCCACAGCCTCCTGCACACGTCCAATCTCAACTCGATATTGCAACCACAACTTATCGGTCCATTTTGCTCCTTTGGGGCACTCTGGCAATGCCCATCTACACAACTTCCCTTGGTCTCTACAGAGATCAGCAATAATGTCTGCTGGCTAGCAGTCTGCTCCTTTGGGCTTGTGAGTTATGGCGTCTTTCCACAGAAATCGACATGGTGAAGTCAGCTAGCGGTAGTTTTATTGCAAAGCTGAGTTTCTACCAATTTATTTGCTTAATAATTCATTTTTCCTCTCATTTGTTATTTTATTTATACAACATGATGAAATACAAATGAAATATGTAAATTGAAATGGGAATAATTTATGGCGTCTTATTCACTCTGTCATTTATTGTGGAACTTGTTTTCATTCCCCTCTCATTATTCAACCTCTTCTTTATTTATTTAATCATCCCCACGATTCTTCTCCGCACTGAGAAGCTACACCAGCAGAATGTAATCACCTGCCTGTCTGACATGCGCATATTGTGTTGCATCCATATACACAGCAGTAACAGGCTGACTTCTTTTGAGCTCACAGTGCTTTTAGTGCTTGTCGAGTTTCTTTGTGTGGCATTCACCTGATGGACAGCTTTTCCAATTGAAAATACATACTTTCCTGCCTATACAGCAAAATATGACAAATCTAAGAATTTCTCCTTCAATCTTCTTTCTTCTTTTTCAGCTTTATTGTATTTGATTTGGTCAGCCAGCGAGGCACTTTGTCATCTGGAGGTTCAGCGGTGCGTGTAGTAGGAGACAGAACGCAGTTCTGCTTTAGTGCTCTGCTCTGGGACAACACAGTGGTTCCATTACCTTGAATATGCTCCTGTCAGCAGAAACACCTCTCACCATTGGGGGGTGGGGGGTCCCACTGCTCACAGAAGTATAGGCATGCTACTGGCCACACACGTACATGCATATAAAAGTGTGGGTTCAGGCTTGTTGTGCATTTGTTACAAGGAAAACCTGAGATGCATGCTGTGATTGCCTGTTTGCTCATAGCTGTTCAACAGAAATCTTCTACTCTAAATACTTGTTTGATCATTTCAAATGTTTCTTAAAGATTTAATCGCTTTTACAAACGCTGCACTTCAATAGCTGCTAAAACTGAATAGCTGCGAAAAGTCCAGACGAACATGTGAAATATAGAAACCTAGAAAAAGAAACAGATAGGGGAGGTGATTTCAGCATTCTTTGTTCAACAAAACGCGTGTAATTAGTATCGACTGTGTCGTTACGTTAGTGAAAGCTGTGTAACACGTCGCTGAATTGACCAGATGCAAGAATGTTAGACTCATGATGAAAATCAAAGCAGAATAACAGCATGTCGACAATGCGGGTGCATACTTTGCAGCGTGTTTGTGTGATTTCAGAGTAAAATGGAAAACCGTTTGTTAGCATGAAATAAACTCAGTGCTTTACGAGTACATCTCTGAGAGGATCGATGCTATTTTACCTCACTACGATCCATTTTTGTTAAATTTGAACAAACTGTCTGCTGAGTGTGAGCAGGATGTATAAAGAGTGCCAGAGGCTGCAGCCAGGCTCAGTGACACATGCAGATTTATGTAAATGCTGCTCAGCCCAGTGCCACCTGCTGCAGACCTCCCTGTGTAATTACTAGTGGAGGGGCGGTCTGTTAGTGAGAGATACCTGTTGGCGCAGACCTGGGTTCAAGGACATCCATCTCGGCTAATGGGCATTTCTGAGAAACAAATGCATACAGAAATACAGTAACGGCGACTCTTTCTCTATCTTTCCAGCTCTCGGTGGCTTTGCTGGTGCTTTGTTTATTACGCCATCACCGCTGCCTCGTAATTCCGCTCTACCTCTAGCTTTTACTCCAAGCCTAGTTTTATTGCACCTTTTGTTTTTGCTCCTACTCAGCTGGTTATTAAATTTAATATATGTGATAGAAATGTAGGCACATGGAAATGTGAAAATTATGACTGGAAAAAAAACCTGCTGATGACATCATAAATATTACAATTTTAACATAGTAAAGAGCTTTTAAATTGTTACACTGCATATGTAAGAAATGCAACCTTGAGGAGAAGCAGTGTGCTCCGTCCTTTCCCTTCAGCTACATGTGATGCAGACACAAACTCATTGTCTGTGTCACGTTTTGTATAGTGAAACTGTAAAAGCTTCAGCAGCAAACTTCACATCCCCGAATGCAGCAACTATGATCTGAAGGAGAAAAATAATCTGCTTTTCTAGACTGAATTAACCTCGTGCAGCCTACAGCTCATTTTAAAAACCGTTCTGAACATCGACGTACCCTGAATGTTCTGAACAAAGAAGAAATTCATTTAAAAATATAAAAGCTTTAATAGAAAAGCCTGAAAACTGCATTTAACAAGGAGCTGAGTTTATTAACGTAAAAGATGTTCGAGTCAGTGACAAAGTCCTGCTATCTATCAAACAGCTGTTTCCACTGAAATTGATCCATCACTTTAAATTTCATCTCTTTAATTTTGTGTAGTTTTACTGCAGCCACCACAACGTCCATGAAACGGGCACTTTCACACCTTTCACTATAGGTCGTTCACTCTGGCCTGGATCAGTTGATGAGTTTGTGAATGTTTCCCGTCAGTTTGGTTTTTCACACAGAGAAAAATCCAAAATGCGTCACTACAAACCATCATTTAAGGAGCTCAGGAAGAAAAGTGTCTGGACCTCTTTAAGGTGCTTGAAAACCTCTCATTCAAGAAGCTTCTTCAGTTCTAAGGTCAAACGGAGGGTCCCAGATTTAAGCAGTATGGGAGTGTCCCCCAAGAGGGACATGGACCCCCACTGATCTTAAACTGAAGAAGCTTCTCGGATGAGAGGTGAAACGTCTTCAAGCAACTTAAAGAAGTCCAGACGCTTTTCTTTCCAAGCTCCTTAGACTACGATGACCTGGATGACGGAGAACCTTCACAGGCATACAAACCACGTCAGGTTATGGAGCCCCTTTATTGGCCAGATGGAGCAACAAGGGTAAATACAGGAAGAAGGTGCCGTGTTCGGCACTACTAGGGAACACAGATCATTTACATTCATTTCACAGCTAATTGGTAACTCGTACAGACCTTTGCACATCTGTAGCACCTGCCACATTAAGAAAACAAACCATACGCAGCTTAGGAAGTAATCATGTTCACACCACAAACAAACTCCTTTAGAGTTTTTCTGGAAACGCACCAGGAACGCCTCCTCAAAGGGTCTCAGTGCAGTTATTTTGGTCTGGACCCTCATCTGCGCACAAACGAACCGCACCAAAGGCGAAAGAGTTCAATATGAATGGACTAAACACCACAGGTGTGAAAACACCCCAAATCTAATTACACTGCAACTGAAAACTGAACATAACATATAAGGAACAAAAAGCATTTCACACTTCCAGCAAGAAAATATTATGTAGATGAACAGAATACAAGCTGTTTGCTGAATAGCCCACGGCCTTGGATTGAAGGAGGAATTTGAAAGTGGATGTCACCCTTATTTGTTTTACAGCAAGAACTGGCAGATTTTGTTTGAGTGTTTCAAATAGCAGTGTTTGTCAGAGGGCTGAGATGCATTAGTTCTGTGGTGAAAGAAAGATTAGACGTCCTCTTCTGAAAAGTTTCAGTTTGTTCTCTCAGTGGTTTATGAGACGGCGCTGACAAACAGAAACTGTGCTATGTCTCGCCTTATTTTGCACACGTTTGTTTCATCACTGCCCTACAGTGTTGGTCAAGTTACTTGAAAAAAGTAATCAGTAACTAATTAACGATTACCTCCCCCAAAAGTAATCCCGTTACTTTACTGATTACTTATTTTCAAAAGTAATTAATTACTTAGTTACTTAGTTACTTTTTAAAAACACGATTTACAACCTGAACAGGTGATAAAGCGATAGATCTTTCAGCCCAATTCTACTTTTTCTACATAATCATCATACAAAATGTAATCAGATGGAAAAGTCTCTTTTTAAAACTTGTTTTATTAGTTTTAATCTTTTAACTTTATGCATGGAAGTGGATGAATCCGCGAGTTTCTCTGTGAGTTTCCCATTACGTCGTAGCTACTCGGTGCTTGTTGGAAGTTTAGGGGTTTTTTTGCTGTAAAAAGAAGTTTTCTTCCCACGCACAGCGGACACTAATGTTTTTGTGACTTTTTATGGAATCAAACTCAAAGTAAGGTCAGTACTTCCACGCTTTAAACGCTGCACGCTCATACTCTCTCAGACAATCGATATATGATCCACTGTTGATCTGCACACAGCTGTTGTCACGAACGTCGCACTCGCTTACGTCACTGTCATGAGACATTCTCGCAAAA